CCACCAACAGAATGGAAGAAAAAAAGGCAGGGGAAATTTGAATTTCCCACCCTTTTACCCCTGCCTTTTTTTCGTTCATAGGTAGAAGCTCCATTCGCAGGTTGAAGTAGATTTTTGCGAACGGAGCCGTTCTTAAGTTGAATACATTCAACTCAATGTATTCCTTCGCAAATACATTTAAGTTGAATTGTTCGTAGGTAGGGATGTTCGTACGTTGAGGTCCCACTGTACAGTGTAGGAATGGGATGTCCTATCTCACTTGCTATTCCTAAGGCAGACATCTTTGGCAAGCTGTTGTTGAAGGTGGAAGTCTTGGGAGCCTTGTGACAACCAACATCCTCTCCTATTCTTGCCAGTGAGGCTGATTTATCGGGTTATGCAGTGTGGCTTGGAACACTCTATAAGAATCCTGCTCCTGATGACCCTGACAAGCAGGCCATCCCTATCATTAAGATTATCTGTGGCCCCTCGGAGTCTCAACTGGTGATGCTAAAGCTGGAGAGGTAAGTGGTGTTTTGGAGAAGGGTTCCATGTCTCCTACAGAAAGAAAGTGACTTCCACACTTTTCATCCTAAGATATGGGAAGCAGAATTATTTATTTTATTTATTGAACATATTTTTACCCTGCCTTTCTCCTTAAAAAAGACCCAAGGCGGTTTACTTAATTAAAAGACAATATTTAAAGCTAAAAGCAGTAAGTGTACAAATATTAAAAAGGAGCAAACAAATACCACACTAAAAGACAGTAAACAAAAGTAACACTAAAATCCACATTCAAAACAGTTAGGCACAACAATCCATTTAAAAAAACTCACTCATGCAGCCAGTCACTAAGGGAAAGCTAGCCTGAAGAGAAGCTCTTTGCCTGCTTGTGGAAGGACAGCAAAAATGGGCCAGCCTGGACTCCTGTGGGAAGTTCTTCCAGAGTCTGGGAGCAACAACAGAGAAGACCCTCTCCTCTGCCCCCACCAAACACATCTGTGAAGGTGGTGGGACCAAGAGAAAGGCTTCTCCCAATGATCTTAACACCTGAGGAAGGCCCATAAAGGGAGACACAGTCCTTGAGATAGCTTAGACCTGAGCCATTAAGGGCTTTATAGGTTAGAACCATCATTTAAAATGGTGCCCAGAAACAGATCAGCAGCCAGTAGAGCTGCTAGAACAGGGACGTTATGTGTCCTGCCCCAGTTAGCAATCTGGATGTTGTTTTCTGGACCCAGCGAAGTTTTCAAACACTTTTCAGAAACAGCCCCATATAGAAAATGTTACAGCATTTATACACATGGATCCTTACTATCTACTACACATTTCAAGTTGGGAATCTGTAACCTGTTTCCTTTTATAGTGCTATACACTAATGGGGTGGTATGTATAAACAAACAAACGGAGGAGACTGTCCCACTGATGTGTGAAGAATCCAAGTGGTTGCTGTAGAACCTTCCATGTTTGGGAGGTAAATGCAGAACATCTCTCAAAAACATATATCTAATACACATGCAGCTCCCTGCTGCGCATCACAAGGAGTTGGCCTATGTGCCATTTTCATAGAGTTGCTGCCTTAGACCTGATGACTGTGTGAATCAGTCCTGATCAAGAATGAACATTAACAGCAGAACATAGGTCGATCCAATGCAGGACATTGTCTACAGAAAACCAGCTTGCCATGGGTGTAATGTCAGTGCAGTCATTAATTTTAAGTGCCAACTAGCTACGCAAAGCTTAAAAGAACATGGGCCCCAAATGTAAAGATTTTAAAGCATATTTTCTTTCCCTCTGCAGGCCAGCAACTCTGAATCGACGTGTAGCACTGATCTGTCTCCCACCTGAGCGTTTCATTGTGCCTGTGAATACAGAGTGTGAAATCGCAGGATGGGGTCAGTCCTGATCAAGAATGAACGTTAACAGCAGAACATAGGTCGATCCAATGCAGGACATTGTCTACAGAAAACCAGCTTGCCATGGGTGTAATGTCAGTGCAGTCATTAATTTTAAGTGCCAACCAGCTACGCAAAGCTTAAAAGAACATGGGCCCCAAATGTAAAGATTTTAAATCATCTTTTCTTTCCTCTGCAGGCCAGCAACTCTGAATCGACGTGTAGCACTGATCTGTCTCCCACCTGAGCGTTTCATTGTGCCTGTGAATACAGAGTGTGAAATCGCAGGATGGGGTGATACCAGAGGTACACTGAACAAATGCACGCTGACTTGAGAGGATGGCTGGATTAGTTACAGGGAGCAATCTTGTCTTCAGCCCTGGTAACACGAGGGGAATGATTTCTAGTTCTTCCGATACTTTCCATGCCTCTGTTGTACTGAATCGTGGTCATGTGGTTTATATCCCAGGACTAACATCCCATCCCGCCAACCTAGCGGTTCGAAAGCATGCAAATGCGAGTAGATAAATAGGGACCACCTCGGTGGGAAGGTAAACAGCGTTCCGTGTCTAAATCACACTGGCCATGTGAGCACGGAAAGATTGTCTTCGGACAAAACGCTGGCTCTATGGCTTGAAGAGCGGGATGAGCGCCACCCCCTAGAGTCGGACACGACTAGACAAAAATTGTCAAGGGGAACCTTTTTACCTTAACATCCCAAGAACGTTTAGCAGTACCAAATTATTTCCTCCTATATGAATTGTTTTATTTATAATATAAAACAATTCATATAGGAGGAAATAAGTTGGTACTGCTAAAAGTTCTTGGGAACTTATAATATATTTATAATATATTTATCAATACATCAGTATTTCAGAAACAAGTCACCCTATAAGATGCGTGAGCACACTTGACTCTGCCCCCCCTCCACACAGCTTTCCTCCTCCCGCTTTCACCCACCACTATCATTTTCAGCCCCTTCCAGTTGCAACAGAACCCCAGATTGGGGGGGGGCAGACTTGCATATGAGGGAGTGGAAATTAGAAGGAGCATTGATCAAGAAGGGGTTTCTGTTTACGAAAGTGTCCTTCTGTTGCAATGGCTGCCCCTGCAGAAATGCATTGCGCACAATGGACTTGGGATATCTGGGCAGCAGTACTGGCAATCCCCCCTCCCCCCGGTGACATTGGCATACCAAGATTTCAGTGTCTCTTCCCACAGGAAAAGAAAATTATTGCTCGCCAGTAATGTAATGGTGGCGCCTCCCCCATGACATCAATGTATTGATGTATCAGGTACAAAAGATTTTTTGAAAATAATGTGCACACTGCAGTAATGATGGCCATCTTCCTGGCTTCAATTCTGAAAAGAAACAGGGCAGGTTGTGCACAAACGCAATCTCGGTAAGGAATGTACCGATACAACAAAGGTACAGAATAATACAACCCTCCTAGCAATGGGGAAATGTTCCACAGTTACACCACTAGCCAGGAAAATGTCTCAGTCTTGACTCTCTGTCATGTGACCAGGAAAAAAATCAACACAACTAGTGGATAACTATGTAACATTTCCCTTGTGTGACCAGGGCCTTGGTTGCTTTGAAACCATTTGGAACAGTGGGGCTTGATTAGATCCCTCCTTCCATTCTCAAGGAAGTACTCCAGTGGCAGTTTAGTTAACCACATGTTGGTGTTGCTCTGTTTGGTCCGTTTGACCACAGTGTGCCCCTCCCCTTCTCACTCCCCACTTCTTGCCTTCTCTCTTGGAATAGATATCTGCCCAGTTGGAAAACAATCTGCTTCCATTTGCTTGTGGGTAGGCTGGATTTTTAAATACACAAAGAGAGGGAGTATGGTGTGTCATGTTTCAGCCTTGGGTTTCTCCTTCTAAAAAATTAATCTTTGGAAAGCGCTGTAAGCACTTAAGGGATGCAGTGCAATAGTGAGAAAGTATTTTTAATAAAAAATAAAATTGATATTAAAATACAGTACCGTTTTTAATTTCAGATAGGACCAAGGGACTAATCACAGTCATGGCCAAACTATACCCAACTTTGCACATCACCGTTGACATGTAGAAAGACACACACACATCCTGCCAACCTCATACTGGAGTGATCTAGGCAATCAAGAAAACTGTTTATTTGGAACAGTCCTAATTGTTCCAAATAAGCAGTGTGTTCTAACGTGAGATCAATATGGGACGGATTGGTCCCCATTAGGGATGACAAGAATGCTGTATAACTCCAACCATTCTAGGAGGAGGCTACAGTGTTGGATAAACTCCCATGTACCTGGCTTTTAACTTGCTTCCTTGTGTTAAATACTGTGTTTATACAAAATTGATGAATTCCTCCTCTGGGTAGTTTACAATGTAAAATGATTACAAATATTATATCATAGCCTAACAAGTTGCAGTATTAAGAAATCCTGCAGAAGGGAGGATTAAAGCTGACAAGTAAAAACTGGCAACACATGAGGCAATGGTTCAGAGCACAAAAATCACAATTTGGGGGGGGGGAGAGAATTAAGTAAAACATTCAACTGATGTTGAAAAAAATGAGGTGCCAAGTCACCCTTTCTGGAGATGGCATTTAACAAACAGGATGCCACCACTGAGAAGACCATCCTCCTGTTAGCCAACTCATATCACTTTACTTGGGAAGTCACCCATAATAAGGACTCTGAAGATTGTGAAGTTTGGATATGTGGGAGGAAGTTACTCTTTCAGTTTTAGATGAGATCTAGACTTTAGACTAATCCTGTATCTAGAAAGCAGTGCTACCTCAACGTCTGAACATCTGAGTGAAAGAGCCTGTTAATTCTTTCAGCTCCACGTCTTTCATTTCACTGACTTTGTTTTAGCTGTATGAGACTCCAGTCCTGCACCTTATTTCTTCACCGAAGATTGCAATGACCCAATATTGCAATGGATGGGGGCACCTGTATAAGCACTCTCACTCTCTACATTCATTGTTGTATTTTTTTTAAAAAGGGAAGTTCTTCTGTCTGTGCCCAAAGAGAATAGAAGTGTGTTTTGCAGGTAGTCTTGGAAAGAAAGGCAGGCAAAGCCAGATCACATCTTTGCCCACATAACACAGATTCTTGAATGGATTAGTCTAGTTTAATATAAAATGTCTTCTTTCTGGTGGATAGATGATTGTAGCCGCAGGTTCCTATGACTGTTAGTCATAGGAGAGGGATACAGAGGGGACGGAAAGAATTTAATTAAGTGGATTTCACCACCACACATGTCAAGAATCACTAAAATGTAAACGTGCTTTCTTTTGTAAGTCTGATTACAACATTCGCACATTACAAAGAATGTATTGGAGTCAAAACATTACAAGAGGAAGCAATAGGATCGTCTTCGAATCTCTGTTTGCAGCCCCCATACCAAAGTTTTAAGGCCTTTAACAATTAAAACCAGTCGTTTGAACAAGGCCCAGAAATGTATTAGAAGCACACTGGTGGTCAAACTTATGGAAAATTTCTGTGGCCCCACTGTGGATCAACTGTCAAATTGTTTTTAAAGACAGCCACACTTGCAGTACTCAGCCAATAACTGGAACATGATTATGGTTTTCCATTCACTCTTCCAATTTTCAGATTGTTCTAGTATAGCTTCTCTCTATTGCTTCCATCTCTCCACAACTGTTTTCGCTCCTGCAGAACATTTTATTGGAAGTTGCATGACAGCTGGCATAAAAAAAGTTTGCTTACTTTCCCCCAACTTACCCTGCCTCAAAGTAGGGATGGAAATCCTTGCTTGCCTCAGGCTCACATGTGATAATAACTGTTCTCCTGCAAAAGAAAAGAATGAATAATCTAAATTAGATAAATTACATACATTTGCACAAATAATGCTTTAATAAGAATTGAATAACATGATGGTGGCTTCTATTTATTGTATGGAATTTTAATGATTTAGATGCATTCGAAGGGTTTCTTTTTGTCCTTCTAAACCATCAGTCAGTTGTTCTGTGCTTGTTGTGTGCGTGCATACTTTGCTTTTCAATTATAGTAACAGGACACTAGTTCGGTACATAGATCATCTGCAATCATCAGGGAGACATTGATGAGGTAAATAAATTAGCTGAAGGCAATAGTAAAAGAGGAAGACCAAATATGAGATATATTGAGTCAGTAAAGGAAGCTATAGCCTTTAGTATACAGCATGGCTATTAATGACAGGACCTTCTAGAGGTCACTCATTCATAGTGTCTCCTTTAGTTAGAAGCAACTTAATGAGAAACAATGGTGAGGAAGGAAATAGTGTCTCTTGTCTGGTTCTCACCTGGAAGCCAGGAACTTACAAGGCTGGAAAATTCCTTTTTGAGGTATTTTGTTGAGTTGAGGCAGTCTGAATCGACAAAACCAATGAATTTAATTATTCCTAATATCCGTATCTCGAAGTACACATGGGCTGTCTTTTGTGATATAGCTTAGCATTGGTGGAAGTCTTCTGGTACACATTCCTGACTCCTTTTACACACTCCATCGTCGTTGTCAAGTCGTGTCCGACTCTTCATGACCTCATGGACCAGAGCCCGCCAGGCCCTCCTATCTTCCACTGCCTCCCAGAGTTGGGTCAAATTCATGCTGGTTGCTTCGATGACACTGTCAACCATCTCATCCTCTGTCGTCCCCTTCTCCTCTTGCCCTCACACTTTCCTAACATCAAGGTCTTTTCCAAGGAGTCTTCTCTTCTCCATAGGTACTGGTGATGACAATGTCCTCAATGTGGCCAAGCTACCTATCATGAGCAATCAAGAATGCAACATCTCACTCCGAGGTCATCTGAAGGAGAGCGAGCTGTGTACATCACCCCTCTTTGTGAGTGTGGGGGCCTGTGAGGTAAGCAAGGGAGGAACTGGGGGTGTGGAGTGAAATTAACTTAGAAATTATTTGATTGGCAGGAGACAAACAAGCTATTGGAAAAAGAAAAGAGAGCACTATGAAAAGTCTAGATAGATTATCATAAGGAAATAGTTTTCTGTGAAAAGATGTAGAGGATAAGATTGAAAAATGAAAGCATTTCATTACTAGGGCAGATGTGGGCTTCAAATATCATTGTTGAAAGAACATCTAGGGAAAAGAAACCATCTTGTGTACACTGATGGCAATGCTTTGTTCTTCAGTGTAGCTCCTGCTTTTGTTTATACAGATCTTGTTTTGTGTTCTTTACTATTACAGGGTGACTTTGGAGGCCCTTTGGCTTGCCTGACACATAACTGCTGGGTATTAGAAGGTGTGATCACCCCTTCCCGGGTATGTGCTCGCAAGGACCGACCTTCAACCTTTATTCGTGTCTCCCTCTATGTTGACTGGATCAACAAAGTGATGAAGCTGAGCTGAGTTTGCTGAATCCAGCTGAGACAGAACTCCACCCTGCCATTCTTAGTGTCACCCAGGAATGGTCATTGTACCAAAGGACGGCCTTTCCTTGAAATGCCAGATTCTTCAGCAAGGATCAATATGACCAAGTGAGAAGATATTTTTGAAGTCAGGCTGTGAATTTTGAGGGAACTTGTATGTACAGACCCTTCTTTTGAAACGCATGGAGAGAGCTTCAGAGCCAAGATATGTGGAATCAGTTCACACCTGCTTCCAAAAGAATACTGTAGCTTTCATTGTTGAAACACAATGTAGCAAAAGAACAATACAGTGCTATGTTCATTTGATATTAATATATTGCATTTAAAATAGTTTCAGAATCTTCACTTGTGGAAGAATTCCCTCTCTTTTAAGGGGCTCTTTTATGCTACCACACTTTAGGAGCCTTTTGTATGTATGAACTATACAGTGAGAGATTTCCTAATCCATTTTATCTATTCTTTTCCCCCTTTTTTGTTAAAAATAGTTTTTAAGGCCTCATTATTAGCATTATCAATAATATAATAAAACCAGCAATTATTCATTCCATTAGAGTAAGAGAGGGGGCTTTGTTGTACAGTTTAAAGAGCTATATTAATTCTATAAAAATTCTCACCTCTCATTAGCAAATTCTTTTCCGTGCCAACTAAGTGGTAAACATATATTACCAATAGGAACAGTTGCTGTGCCTAACACAGAAGGTTCTGATCAATAGATTGAGAGTCCCTATTGCTGCCATATTATTGGAGCTAAGTGGTGCTGGACATAACCAGTGCCTGGGCTGCTGAAGGCCCCTTAGTTAGTTATTAGTAGCACTGTTTGCACTCTTGATGTAAAGTTCTAGGTTCAAACACATCAAGGACCAGATTGTCATTTGAAGCAATTACACCGCTGAGTCTCATGTTTTGGCACTTTGGAACCTAATGTAAATAATAAATAATAATGTTCCATCAAGTCAACTATGACTTACAGTGACCCTTTTCAGGGTTTTCCTGGTAGAAAATACTACCTGGTTTTGCTATTTATCCTCCTGATTATATTGTATTATTATTATTATTGGAGATTTTAATTGTTGTTTTAAGTTGCTTGTGACCAATATATTGTGAGCTGCCCTGAGTCTCCTGTCTTTTTATCCCGCCCTAGACTCCTGTCTAGAAGGGCAGGATAAAAATCCAATAATACATAAATACAAATAAAATAGATATTATGAAAGGTCCCAACTTAACTGGAAAAGTTATATTCTGTGTGGCTATGTTGGCTGTAGGGGTGGGGTAGGATCTGAGAGTTGAAATCTGAAGAAGATACTGTACATTTCTTTCCAGTGAGTATTCAACTGTGTGCCTGGGTGAAGGGAGAGAGGAAAAAAGACCACCATGCAAAACAGCATTCTAGGGATGGATGAAGAGCTGGGTGGGACCACCTAATTTCTGAACCCAGTACAAGCTGAGTTACAGCTTGGCTAGACAGCTAAATTGGAGGAAGCTGAATCAGGCTAAATAAGATCGCTTGCAAGTTGCACGGAGGTACAGTATGCCGTTTGGTGTGATCCTTGCATCCACATGGCATATGCATCTCAGACAACCCTATTTGGACTGCTTTACTTTAAAGGGAAAGAAAGAGGAAAGGCAGCAGGAAAAAAGAGAGAGAAACACACACACACACACACACACTACCCTTTGTTTGCTCCCTCCTCTCCTTCCAGAAGAAAGCTTACAATCTAAAAAAAACCCTGAAAGGTACAACAAGGGATGTGTATTCTTTTGGGGCATATGTAAGTAGCTATTATTTAAAAAGGGGGGGAGGGAGGAATACAGAGGACCGTAGGAATTTTAAATTTCCCAGTATTGTGGAGTGGCTGTCTGCTTAACCCACTTAACAATATTGGGAAATTGAAAGCAGCTAGGTTCTGACACAAGAACAGGTCAAATTGAGTACAAGAATGGATCTGTGCCAGAGAAAGAATTTGGGGGAGAGGAGAAAAAAGAGCGGGGCAAAGCTGGATGTGTTTGCTACTTTCAGCTGTTAGAAGGACACCCCAAAGCCAGCTGGTTCACCTGAAGCCTGAGAGAAAAGCACCAGGGAGGTAGAGCACCAGGGAGAGTGGGAATGCATACAGAAAAAGGGTCCCTGGTTTGGCAAGATTGTGGCTTTTAGAAATCCCAGGTGGAGGCAGAATGTCTCTGTAATTCCTAAAACAACTTCCTTTTGGGAGAAAGGAAAAGAAGAAAGAGATGATGACAGATCCAGGATAAAAAGGGACCAAAGGTGTCAACTCCCACTTGGCTCAAAATGTGGCTTGCCAGATTCCCAGGCACCTTGAGAAGAGAAGGGTTGGGAAGATTCACACAATAGTCTTCATTGTCCTCATATAAGCTATCCTTGCCGTGGCCTCTCCTGCCTGGAGATCCACCCATGGACTGAACAGGAAATTGGACTGAGTTTACCTGGGAAAGGTTGAAAAGTCAATTGTTTATTGACTTGTTGACTTAATTGTTTAACCTTGGCTCAATTGTCATGTTACTCTTTTTTAATTAACCCAGTGGATGCTACTGAAATAAAGCCTCATGTACTGGAAAAGAATATGGAAGAAGGGTTCTCCACCAACACAGCAACCGTTCAGGGGACTGCACAGTGGTGCCCAACGTGGAGCCTTTTCACTTCCACCAGGCACAACAGGCCCCAAAGAGGCAAGAACTGTTAATGTTAGGCAAACAGTGGAACAACAACGGTTTCAGTCGAAGTGCTAACCCCATGGAAATAGCTGTAAATCCTGCAAAGCACCATTTAAGTTTGTGAAACAGTGGTCAGGCCAGCAAAACACAGCTCAGTTTTTTGTTGGTTATTTAAAGTGTAAGCACTTTAAGAAAAAGACTGAACAAAAGAAAATGACGAGAAGCCGAATAGGGAACCCTTGCAGGTGACATTGGCCAGCCCTGTGGGGCAGTGGTTCCTCAAACTTATGCTTCATAAGACAGTAAAGGAACCCAAACGTAAAACAATGTACCAAATTATAAAGAACTTAAGGTCACATTCTCTCAAATTGGCATAGCATTATCAAGTTTCTAGAATATTAGAATAAGATTGCTATAACTTCTAATATTTATTTATAGAAATAACATTACACTTGCATTCCAGTGTGAGACTCAATATGAGAGGGACCCACCAATCTCCCTGGACTTTAAAATCAAGTATGACAACTAAGCACAGATTTTTCTCAGAATGTTGTGGTCAATGATGTCCTCCGACTGAATAAATAATAGGAAATCAATCTACTTCAAAGCACTAAAATCTTGTTCTCCATTAGTAGTTCTCAGTGTTTGGCTCCCGCTGATAACTGGCCATGCTAAGTGTGCTTTGAAGAGGTGAAATCCAAAATATTTAGAGGGTGAACAGCACAGAGGCTTGGTTCTACATCAAGCGACCACTATAGGCCAGTACAGAGCAGAAACTGATTTACATGCACAGTGTGCAGTGAACTGGCGAGAAACTTGTCATAGTTCCAATAAAAAAACAAAGGAAGTTCCCTATAGTCTGTCTCTGTATCATTCATTATGAAAATCAGTGATACAAGAGACCCATTCATTTGCACACTCTTGACAAATAGGTTGTCATACTAATTCCCAGTTTATTTAAAGTGTGTGCCACAAATCAGCTACCTCCACTTTCCATCTCAATTCTCTAGCTTTGGCTGGACAACTGAAAACCATCTTTAAAGCAGGGTGTGCAAGACTCAGGCAATCAAGAAAGATGTCTTCTCCCCAAATCAGTGCCCTTTTGGTAGCTCGGATTATCTTGTCCCTCGGAGGGATCATCTCCAATAGCTTCATAATTGCAACGATGATCAAAAAATGGGCTAAATGCAGGAGACTTGCTTCCAATGATCAGCTGCTTCTGAGTCTGGGTCTGTCCAATTTCTGTGCCTCAGCTTTAGAGATTATATTCTACCTTCCTCGCTTCTGGACAGGGATATTGCTTCTATTTCCACCACTCTACTTCTTTTCCTTCATTGTGGTCATGTCCAGATTCTGGTTCACTGCCTGGCTGTGCATCTTCTACTGCATCAAGATCATGAGCAGCACCCACCCTCTCTTCATCCAATGCAAACTGAGAATATCGTGGTTAATTCCTCGGCTTCTTGTGGGGTCCCTGCTCATCTCCATCTTCATCTTCCCATTTAGGAATGTTTTTGTACAAACCCAAATGAATATAACAACAAATGCAACAAACGGCATTAAAGAAATGGCACCCTATGGCTTTACTTTGCCTCTTGGGGGTATCTTTTTTGTTGTAGCTTCTGGCTGTCCGCTTCTTGTTGTTTTACTTTGTTCCATCCTGGTTGTTGCCTCACTCTGCAAGCATATCCGGCGAATGACAGATAAAGAGTCCTGTTTTCAGGGTTTCCAAACAGAAGGTCACGTCAAGGCAGCCAGGACAGTGCTCTCCCTTTTGTTTATTTATATTTCATTTTATGTTGCCCATACCTTATCTGTGACAATGGATTGGGCTGATAATGGACACATCTTTGTCACAATAGCTATGACAATGTACTCCCCCGCTCAAGCTTTCATTCTACTGATGGTTAATCCTAAACTAAAGCAGGCAGCAGCTCGAATACTAGAAAGAACAAGGCCTTGACCTCTGAGGACAGAATGAATGTGAGATTTATTCCCAGATTTATCCTTGCAATACAAGCTTTCATTGATACAACTGGGAACTTTCCGACAATTGGGAATATCAGTCTTGAGAAGAAGTTAGTTCTAACTGGAGAAATTATAATGATCAATAATGAAGAAGAACGGATGAAAGTAAATTGAAAAGTGCTATGAAAAAAGGAGTTACAATTGGTGTGTATGGTTCATGAAAGACAAAGGGAAAGAGAGATCTGAGAAAAATAATAACCAATATATAGACAGGCCAAAGTTTTGGAAGGTGAAGCTCAAAGAGAATAAGTGGTTAGGGCTATTTAAAGCATGCTGGATTAGCTGAAAGGCAACCCCCCCCAAAAAAAACCCAACACCACCAACTCTGACATTGAGCTCTAAAAATTGAAGTTGGAGGAGTTAAGTGTGCGAGTAGAAATGGGAAGAGATAATGAGGATATAGGAAGCCCTTGACATTCATACAAAGAAACTGTCCAGATTTCAAAAAAGGGATAAAATCAAAGCCCTTAACATCAGTTTTGAAAAGGTTTGCCTTCCTTTCGGAATCCCCAGTGACTCGTAGAATATGGTTCACCTCTTCTTTCTGATCTGTGGATATTTAAACAGTGACTATGAAGACTGATCAGTGCTCTGTAGGTTTTGGATTAGGAACTCTTTAAGGAGAGAGTCGGAGAGAGTTTAGCTTGACCATTGAATGAAATTTGAAAGACTTGAGTGAAATCAGGAAAAAGCCTGGATACTGTACTCAAAAAGAATTGTCAGCTGGGCTGCCTATTATCTAGACAGTTACAAGATTTTGGTGGGAAAACCCATCCAGATGTAATCAATTACAATACAGCTGAAGCAGTTTTATTAGACCATCCTGAAAGAACAAGGATGGGCGGTGGTCAAAATTCCCTCTAATTTTCCGCTAGTGCTAGATTGGGTGGGGGGGAGCTGCCCCACTCACACAAAGGTTTGACTGACCAGAAGGAAATGAGTGGAAACGCTGGCTCGGCTGCACAGCCTCATGGTTTAGAGGGAACATTGGTGGTGAAGGGTAAAATGTCTGAAACTGTAGCATGCATTGCCAGATCATGGGCGGCAAAGCTACGGGCATGAATGGAATAATTTTTGCCTTAAGTTTTGATAGTGGATGTTTTTGGTAACCTGAGCTAAGAATTTGATCTTCCTGAAAATAAGTAGTTTAAACCAACCCTGATTTTTAGCAAGAATTTTGAGGAAAACAAATGCTGTTTCTGGCACAAGAAAGTACATACTAAATGAATTTCTAGAGCTCAATTTCATTGTTGTTTTTCTTTTGCCTTTCAGCAAAGGACTGCTGCATAGCTCAACAGTTAAGTTTAGGAGTCAAAATTGGGAGTTCAATTCCCCACTGAGCCTCCTTGACTGGGACTGGACTTGATAATTCATAGGGTCACTTCTAATTCTGCAACTCTAAGATGATGATTAAATTGTCCTGTGTGGAATAAAAAAAAAACTGCCTGACAGTAGAAGGGCAGAGGTAGGGGTAGCAGTTTTTTTGACATTAAAGGCTCCCCCCCACAAGTCCCAAGTCTCCCAAAGTTTCCCCTAGGTTGAAAGAAATACGTAGGGAGCCTTGGAACCTGGGAGGTGGGGTAGAGGAAACATTTAATTAAATATAAAAGTCACCACATGTGATATCTCAAGTGTGCAAAGATCAGCTAGGAAGATTCTGGCCACTGGCTAGTCACATAAAAATGTTTGTTTCTTGCAAAACCATTGGCTCAGACAGTGACTGCATGTTTTGCCTTATATCTCAGGTCCTGTAAGGGTTAGGGACTTAGCTTAGAAAAATAAGGATTGCAATCAGGTCTATCTGATGGGCTGAAGAGACAACCAGGTGGCATGTTTATTATCTAGGTAAAGCTCAATCAACCGCACAGAACGGCAACCCTAGTCTGGTGCTCACAGAGTACTGTAATTAGACCTGAACTGGTTAAAGCAAGACAATATCTAAAAGGCCAGTGCTGTACTAATAAAGGCTGGGGTTCCTGTGGCAGAAATTGACATCATGCGTGAACGGTGGTCTGAAAAGTGGAAAGTAACAGTTTGGTATGATATACCAGCTAAAACATTGTTGGGGGACAACTTTTCTTAACACATGGAAAAATAGATACGCTGGCTGACTGTGAGAAACAGGCCCAGAGTGATTCCATGACAACCGAGTCCTCTGTGCAGTCGTAGGCAGGAACTGTAGCCTCATCAGCAGGCAGCAAGCTAGAAAAAATTTGTTTTATTGTTGTCCCAAAGAGTCACATGGCTCTGTTGGCCTGGCTTGGTACGAAATACCACTGTTTTGATAAAAATTGCCATCTCAGCCAGACAGTAACAGATACTATCGCTGCACTGGAGTGCAACAAATGATATTGGACAGCAGAGCAAATCATCATTCTACAAGGCTATTCTAAAAATTGGGGCTTCCCAAACAAAAAATTACGACATTGAAACTGGACTTTGGATAAGCACCACATTTGGCAGTTACCCATTCAATTCTTACATGGGGTGCTGTTTGCAGCCTGATAAATCAAAGAAGGGAGGAAAGACAGCAGCTATCTCCTTGGTTTTCTTTCCAGGTGACTCTATGCCTGGGACATTAAACCAGGAGAGTATGGGATGACAATCAGAGCTGTCTAATGGGCAACGGGCAGGGCCTTGCCTGATGGACAAGAGTGCAGCAGTCTTCACTCTGGTCCACCTGGCAAAGATAGCTTGAGTGCTGTAGCAATTCTCTGGTGGTCTTCTCTGTGGCTTCACCCACCTGTCAATAATTAAAAAAAAAAAGACTTTAGGGGTGCAGAGGTGCTGCCATAAAAAGGAAAACTGCTTTTAAAAGGTGCTTCAGAGGTGCACTAAAAGTGAAAACACAGTTTAAAAACTACAGCTTTACATTACAGTACAGTACAGTTTGTTTTGGTACAAAGCTACTGATAAGACAGCAAGACATGAGTAACTTATTCATCATGTTTGCCAGATTCAGCGAGAAATGATAAACAAAGGAACAATGGTATAATATGAACAAATAACAAGAGAAAAAAATGAAGAGCATTTTAAAATGCCACAGGTTGTGATTTACCTATCATGTTAATTAACAAAGAAATACTGCAAAATATATGTGGACACTTGTGTTAGACAAAGGAGAGTAAACATATATTGCACAATGAAAGCTTTTACATAATGTTATATAAAAGGATAAAAATCTGCATGTTATTTTAGGCGGTTTGTTTATTTATCAGCAAGTGGAGAAGAGAAAGAAGGGTGTAATTTGTTTCATGAGGCTTTAGCCATGAATCTGTAAGAAGCAATTTTTATGAGAAAGGGTAAGAATTGATGTTATCTTATACAGTAGTACCATCTAATAGTAAAATAAATAGCAAGAAGCCACTACCCCAGTGGATCACTATATATGCTCTCCACTAGGGTAACAATTCGCTACATATGCCATTGGTAGGGTTGTTGTTTAGTCGTGTCCGACCGATAAGCTATCCCGCTAGAGTGCTATACCAATGATGTGCTAGCTTTGGCAATAAGCTGGGTTAGTTTGGTTTTTGCTAAATTATAAATATAGGATGAAAATACATAAAGTGTCATGGGACACAATGGGAGACACATGCCTTGTTTTCAATGAATTAAGAGACATTATATTCAGGAAGGAAAAGGAAACGTGTGAGAGAGAAGGGAACTGACGCCAGGGGAAGATACTTAGAGCAGCAGAAAGATAACAGTGTGGTACTGACAGTCAGCAATGGAATTTATATAAGACTGAGTGAGAAAAACATTTTTCTGTATGTGTTAATGACATGCTTAGAGACTTAGAAATATTTTTCATATTATATTTTCTTCGTATAACTCTGATATTTGTATTTGTATTTTAAAGGAAATATTTAAAGCTTTTAAAATTATATTGCTTTTCATTTTTAAAAGATGTATTCTACAGTTGCATTCTCTACCTTCATAGGTTAAAAAGCTCCTGTATTTTATATTCAAACACAAGCTTAATTTTTATATGTTTAAGCATTTGCACCTACAGCTTTGTTACTAGCGGTAAGGATGGTTTTAAAGGCAACAGGCCTATGACTTTTCAAAAGTTACATGTTTTTCAAATCTCTTTGGATTTTATGTTTTTCGTATGGGACATAGGTAAAGTAGAAATAAAACTTAAAGAAAATCAACAAGTTTTGGCACTGTCTGGAATTATTGCAACAATGAAGATATAATAATATGGCTGCAAAACAGGCCACGGCTGTATTAGGATCCATTAACAGAAGTATAGTCTCCAAATTCTGTGAGGTAGTTCCCTTCTATTCAGCACTGGTTAGGCCTCAGTTCTGGACACCACACTTGAAGAAGAATGCCAACAAACTAGAACAAGTTCAGATGGCTCCGAAGAATACTACTGCAGGTGGTTAGCTGATATTTATAAATAACTCATTTATAAGGACCCTTGTGGCTCAATGATTAAATGGCAGTACTGCAGCCAGAACACTGTTCACAACCCAGGTTCAATCCCAGATAGCTGGCTCGAGGTTCACTCAGCCTTTCATCCTTATGAGATGAGTAAATTGAGTACCCAGCTTGCTATGGGTGGTGGTGCAATGTGCAACCTGCATAATGAAATTGTAAACCACCCAGAGAGTATGCTTTAAGCACTATAGAGTAGTATATAAGCAGCATGCTTTGCTTATTTGCTTTCTTAAAAAAACAAATGTCCAGTATATGAATCTGACATATCCCTGTGTTGCCAACAGGAAAAGGGATGCAGCACTTTACATAACAAAGGGAAGCCTGGATGCTGACAACACCAATAGCAGAAGTCAAGATGGTCTACAGCAGGGGTCCCCAATCCCCAGTCCGCGGCCCAGTGCCGGTCTGTGGCCATGGCAGAACCGGGCTGCAGAGACAGATCTCCTGCCCCCTGCATGCAATACCCCCACCCACCCCACTGGCATGGAGCACCACCCGTACGCATGGGTGCCCCTCCATGAGCGTGCCCTGCCCTTCCATGCATGTGTGCCCCACCCCTCCATGAGCACCCCTACCCTTTTGTGCATATGCACTAGTGCGCCCCACCCCTTCGTGAGCACGCTTTGCCCCCCCCCACCGGTCCACAACTCAGAAAAGTTTGGGGACCACTGGTCTACAGGATATCCCCTACCATCTACAACAGGGGTCAGGGAACTTTTTTTCCTTTTACCCCCCAAAAAATTTATATATTTATATATGCCGACATTACCCCCTTGATTCGAAAGGAAGGAAATCATACATTATTTGAATTAAAAATATTATCAAATCTACACAGGCTGTGTACCGAACTAGCAGGATGCACCAAATTTGATAAAGATGTGCACTATTTTTGCTGGAACACATTGCACTCCAAAAGATGATGAAGATGGCTCTTTTCTCCCAAAGGGCCAATGTGCCAGGAAGGACAAGGATGGCACCCACACTCAGATTGACATGACCAGCTTGGGTAGCACCAGTGCTACTCCTTTGGGAAAGAGCACCAGACATTGTCTTCCAGATCCATAGAATGTAGCTCCATCATATCCAAGGAAGAGTTTACTCCCTAACCTCCATTCCCAGCAAACCTTTACTGTGCAAAGCAGTATTGTGGTTGGTGAGAGTTTTTCTTTATTATTATTATTATTTATTTTATTTAAAATATTTTTATTCCACCTTTCTCCTTAAAAAAAAAACAACCCAAGGTGTGTATTCTTCAAGAATACTCATGTGATATGAGGGAGGCTGAGACTGAGGGGACTCAGATTGACATTATTTCAGAAGTATGTGACACTCAAAGTGTTCTCTCAGGCAGGGGGCACTGTCAGTCCACATTCTTTATGTCTGGCACCTGGATCTGAAGAAAGACTTATTGTCCTTAAGGTCAACCTACCATTTCTGAACTTCCTTGAAGAGAGAATGGCACACTCTGATCACTGTATTAGCTATGCCATGCTTCTGTATGCTGCCCCTTCCTTCTGCCTCTTTCATTCTTCCAACTTCTACTCCAAGACTGTGGTCACTCACTCACTTGTGCTGTGCCTCATGCTGTTGGCACAGTTTCCACCCACCTCAAGCTATCTGTTGCTGTGTTCTCTCCACCAATGCTGCCAAGGGTATCTGCTCACTCCCCAGTGCAACCCGTCCTCTGCTTCCCCCATGCTGCTGACATTTCCTGTTGGCATTCCTACTGTTCAGGGTTCAATCAGTATGCCCATTATAAAGGTAAAGGTCCCCCTTGACATTTTTAGTCCAGTCGTGTCCGACTCTAGGGGGTGATGCTCATCCCGTTTTGCAAGCCGTAGAGCCAGTGCTTGTCCAAAGACAGTTTCCGTTGTCACGTGGCCAGCGTGACTAGGGAACACTGTTTTACCTTCCCACCGAGGTGGTACCTATTTATCTTCTCGCATTTACATGCTTTCAAACTGCTAGGTTGGCCATTATAGTCATTTCCTAATACCTAGGCACTGCTGACTGTGTACTTTTTTTTTGCTTGGCACAATCACAGTTTATGTTTTTTTAAAGGGGAAAATAATGACCATATAATGTTCATATTGACCTTAACAGAGTTCCAGATAGCTGGACATTCCACATTTTTTAAAATTCAGAAGGCAGTAACTCAACATTCTGAATTCTAAATTCAAATGTTGGTGCTACTGCACATCTGTAGTGGAAAGTACAAAGCTAATTTTGCAGATAATATACACATACAGCAAAAACTAGTAATGTAAGATCCATGCAATGCAAAGAAAAATTCAGCAAGTCAAAGCAGCAGTGCACCTTCACACTCATTTTCTCAGTGGAAAACAGTATAACTGCACCTTCAGTGTGGCTCAACATTAAAAAAACTGTAATCATACACTTTAACTCTTGAAAGAATTGGCATTTTAAAGAATCAAAGAGAAGAATAAACTTTCAGATACAACCAGAGGAGTGCAAATAAAGAATGGGTATTGTTACCACTACTGTGCTAGATCAGGAAAACGTTTTTTATAAGACAATACCCAGATATAATTTGACAAATAAATAAGCATTAATTAAAGGCACAATCCTATGTATGGTTCCTTAAGGTACGAGTAGGTCCTGCTATTGGACATAGTATTGTAATATACAATTTGTAATATGCACACCCAGATGCTCTCACATGCTGGACAACCCTTTTGAGTCCCATTGGGTGTGGTCCTTGAGGTCTGTTGCCACGTGGATGACCAGCCCTCCCTCCCTTGGCAGAGGGGCTTACCAAGACCTGGGCAACAGAAAGTGTTTTTAATGCTGAAACTGGCAGGGAGGAATGAAAGAAAGACAACAGCCCCAGCTTCCAGGCTTGAAAAAAAAAGATATGTGCTGAGTGGCACCAACCAGTTTTGCTGACCAGTTAGCAGGAAAAAACAAAGCTACTCTGAACAATAGGTTTCTAAGCTCAGGATCCTATGTGTGGTTTCTTTTTATGTTCCTGCCCCCATTAAGCTGGTGGCATGACATTTATGAAATAGTATATAAAGGTGTTTTATACAGCAGATTTCCCACACAGTACACCAAGAGCACTTTTGTGTGCATGTGTGTGTGTTTGAACACTAAGTTGTTATTCCCATTGAAGCATGGGAAAAAAAGAGTAAGAATGTTCAAGAACGTGGAAAAGGCTCCTATGTCAAGCCAAATAAACCTTCAGGTGTGATCACAGCAATGCAAATGGAGATAAGATACAGTTACCGTTGTGCTCTATCAAGGACACATCTTTGCATTTTCCTTTCTGTAAACAGCAGTAAACAAATGCATGCACCTTTTGAGGAACTAGGGAAATAAAACTGACAAACAAATCACACACAAGTTAGTGAGGGAAGGCTTGCCTGAAGAGGAAGGTCTTTGTCTGCTTGTGGAAGGAGAGCAAAGATGGGGCCAGCCTAGCTTTGTGTGGGAGGGAGTTCCAGAGTCTCGGAGAAGCAACAGACTTCCCATCAAATGCACCTGTGAAGATGGTGGGGCCAAGAGAAAGGCTTCCGTTGATGATCCTAACACTCAAGCTGGCTCATAATGGGAGTTATGGTCTTTGAGATAGCTTGAACCCAGGCCATTTACGGTTTTATATGTTAGAACCAGCAGCCAATGGAGCTGCTGTAACAAGGGGTTTATGTGATCCCTGTAACCAGACCCAGTCAGCAATCTGGCTGCTGCATTCTGGTCCCATTGAAGCTTCTTGACACTTTCCATCAGCAGCCCCATATAGAACATGTTATAGTAATCCAGTTGGGAAGTAACTAGGGGGTGTATCACAGTGGCCAGATCAGATTTCTCAAGAAACGGATGTAGCTGGTGCACTCATTTTAATTGTGTCAATGCATTCTTGGCCACTGCTGAGACCTGGGCATCTAGGCTCAGGGACGAATCTATGAAGCAGAGATTGGCAGAGCTACTCTTTTGGACTACAGCTCCCAGAACATGTCAGCCAACAGTGATTGTTGTAGCTGAGAGATCCTCATTGCTCTGTGGTGGCCACGGCAACTGTGGTTCACCCACCTGAGTTCAATGGCGACAGACATATTCCACCTACTGTCCATATCAAACCTCCTATCTCAGAGCAACGGATCGATCCTTCATCCCAATATTCAGTCCCTGAATCTAACAGCTTGGAGGATACTCCCGCCTTCTGAAACATCTTAGACCAAGCTCAAAAGCCATCTACACAAAAGCTCTATGAAAATAAATGGAAATCTTTTAAGAAATTTACTGAATCAAAAAACTTAATAGCAACACCAGTTTCCCTTTAAAAAAAACTCACCTTTATTCTCCACCTCTTCGATATGGGACTATCACACTCTACCCTGAAAGTTTATATATCAGCAATTGTGGCCCATCAACCATCTCACTCTCAATCAGCAAAACTCTTTGCACATCCCACTCTAAAAAGATTTCTCAAAGGTCTTCAAAACATTTGACCCCCCTCAAGACAACAATTTGTGCCTCAATGGTCATTACAATTAGTTTTAAATTTCCTCACCAAACCACCTTTTGAGCCAATGGCTAAATGCAATGAAAAACTATTGTCCCTGAAGACAGCCTTTCTTGTGGCAATAACATCTGCCAAGTGAGCCAGGGGAATTGGCAGCTCTTCGATCAGACCCACCATACCTGCAATTTCATCCGGATAAGGCTACTATGTACTTTTATGTATCATTTCTCCCGAAAATTGTCTCTGAATTTCACCTGAATCAACCTTTAATTTTACCAACATTACTGTACTTCCATCTCCTTCTACATCTACTGAGCGCATGCTCCACATGCTGTCCATCCGAAGGTCTTTAGCCTTCTATACCAACAGAACAAAAGCATTCAGGATGTCCCCAAGACTATTTGTATTCTTCCAAGGTCCCCACAAGGGTGCTCCAGCATCATCACAAACCATATCTTGCTGGATAGTACAGACATTGGCATATGACCTTTCAGGTAAAACAACTCCTGAACAATTGAAGGCCCATTCCACTAGAGCATTGTCAACATCAATGGCTCTGCATCCTGGAATAGAACTACCAAACATTTGCCGAGCAGTAACCTGGTCCAATCCTTTGACCTTTGTGAAGCATTGTCACTTCAATGTCAAAGCTAAGAATGATGCTGCATTCAGCACGGTGATCCTGACATCTCTGGTACCATGACTTCCCACCATCCGATAAGTGAGCTTGTCAGTCACCCACTTGTGTGCATTCAAAGAGGCCACGGAGTAGAATGAGAGGTTACCTACCTGTAACCATGGTTCTTCTAGTGGATCTCTGTGAATTCACACAATCCCTCCCTTCCTCCCCTCTGTCTGTCACGTTGTCTTCCAACATGCTACCTTGACTGCAGCGGACTATGGAAGGAACTGAGGGGAAGATTGGAGGGCGGAGCTTGCACTCGGGAGGAATGTCTCATTGTCAAGTCTTTTTTAAGCTCTAGAAACTTCTTAAACATCCTGCGCAGGCTCAGAATAACCTACTAGTGTGCATTCATAGAGGCCACAAAGAAGAACTGGTTTTGTAAGGGTGAGAAATTTATTTTTAACTTTTGTATACTGCCTTGAGTTCCTTCCCTATGAGGAAGTTGGGATATAAATAAAGTAAGCAAACAAACAAACAAACAAGAGATTTTCCTTCTGGTTCTTGTGGGTTTTTTGGGCTCTTTGGGCGTGTTCTGAAGGTTGTTCTTCCTAATGTTTTGCCAGTCTCTGTGGCCGGCATCTTCAGAGGACAGTGCTTTGTACTCTGGTTTTCCTTCTTTCAACTGCATTATCTCCAACTCCTGATATTTTGTTCAGATTAGGCGTCTTTCAGTCTCGAGAGACTATAGTGATGTGCTCTGTATGGAGCACTTGGAACAGCATCTAGTGCGGCTGAGAAGGCCAATTTGAGAGTAACAGTCCCTTCCACACTGAAGACAAATACAATCTGTCCCCTGTCCAGTTCCATGGTTTTGCTTGTTTCAGAACTGCCTCTTTGCCTCGGCCTGCTATACAAGTGTCTTTTCAAATTGGGAGAGGCCATGATGCACTGCCTGCCTCCAGGCTGAATGCTCAGACGTCAAGGTTTCTCATCTGTTCAGGTCCATTCCTAAGGCCTTCAGATCCCACTTGCAGATGTCCTTGTATCGCAGCTGTGGTCTCCTTCTGGGGGGATTTCCCTGCACTAATTCTCCATACAGGAGATCTTTTGGAATCCGACCATCAGCCATTCTCACAAGATGCCCAAGCCAACATAGACATCACGGTTTCAATAATGTATACATGCTAAAAATTCCAGCTCGTTCTAGGACTGCTCTATTTGGAACTTTGTCCTGCCAGGGGATACCAAAAATGCGTTGGAGACAACGCATATGGAAGGGGTTCAGCTTCCTCTCTTGCCATGCACAAAGGGTCCAGGACTCACTGGAGGACAGGAGTGTGCTCAGGCCACACCTTCTATAGACCTGGATCTTGGTGTATGCCATCAGCTTCTTATTAAGCCATACTCTATTTGTGAGTCTAGAGAACATGGTCGCTGCTTTGCCAATGCATATATCCAGCTCAACATCTAGGGAGAGAGTGTCAGACATCGTTGAGCAAAAGTACACAAAGTCATGAACAGCCTCCAATTCTTGCATGGAAATGGTAATAGAGGGAGGTGAGTCCATACCCTGGCCAATGCCTTGGGTTTTCTTCAGGCTGATTATTAGTCCAAAGTCTTGGCAGGCCTTGGTAAAACGATTCATGAGTTGTTGGACGTCTTCAGCAGAGTGGGCAACAAACGCTGCATCAGCTGCAAAGAGGAGTCCCTCGTGCATTTCAGTTGGACTTTGGTCCTCGCTCTTAATTTAGAGAGATTAAAGAGCTTTCCATCTGTTCTAGTCCAGAGATAGACACCTTCTGTTGCAGTTCCAAAGGCATGCTTCAGCTTGACAGCAAAAAAGATCCCAAACAGAGTTGGCACGAGGACACAGCCCTGTTTCACTCCAGATGTCAAAGGGATCTGACGTTGGTAAAGGTTCCCCTTGACATTTTTTGTCCAGTCGTGTTCAACTCTAGAGGGCGGTGCTCATCCCCATTTCCAAGTCATAGAGCCAGCGTTTGTCCGAAGACAATCTTCCGTGGTCACATGGCCAGTGCGACTTAGACACAGAACGCTGTTACCTTCCCACCGAGGTGGTCCATATTTATCTACTCGCATTTGCATGCTTTTGAACCGCTAGGTTGGCGGGAGCTGGGACAAGCGACGGGTGCTCACTCCATCACGTGGATTCGATCTTACGACTGCTTGGTCTTCTGACCCTGCAGCACAGGCTTCTGCGGTTCAGCCTGCAGCGCCACCACGTCCCTGACATTGAGCCATCAAAAAATACAGTGCCTTTCACTCCCTCATGAAAGGACCTGATGATGTTAAGAGTCGAGGTGGACATCCAATCTTGGGAAGTATTTTAAAAAGGCCGTCCCTGCTAAACAAATCTTGTACTCACTAGGACAGACTTTATATCCTGCTAGAACTCTCCTCTTATTCTCGATGGGTGGCGTCAACTCCTCCGAATGGGCTTCGAACCAGTCGGCCATCTTTTTGGTCTTCTTACCAAATGTGAACAAGGCGGTGTTATAAACAGTCTACTCAGTTCAATGTCGATGACAGCTGTCTTGCGCACATTGTCTATTTCCTGCAGGTCGTCAGAAAAGCCAGGGGTCATTGTCCAAACATTCCAGATGCCCAACTTTAGGGCAGAAGTTTTCTTATGATTGTTGCATGGTGCAGGGTTATCGATCTGCTTGTCACCCTAAACCCCACATACCCTGTGAGATTAACAGACCATAGCAAGGTGCAGTGACCTCTCCCATCGTCAGAAGTAGCCCCTGGTGTCATGCTCTACGCCAATCAAACAAAGACTTATAACCGGTAACTGCTACTTCTCATGTTGTTTTGACTTTGTATGCGAATCTGGAGTGTCCTCTCCAGAGCACGAAGCCTGGGTAAAATATGGAGGAGAGGCTGTTACCCAAACAGCAAATCCTCTCTTTGCACATCACTGAAATAGTCCAATGGAAAGGCAAGAGCCAATACAACTGGTTCCAACAACGTCCAGGAGTTGCCAGAACAACACGAACTGCCTCCGGGACTCCGGTTCCAGATTTTGCCTCGAGGTTAACTCCTCAAGCCTTTTCCATCACTGGATACAGCCACAAGGCCGTGGAGGTCTGAAATCAGAGTTTACCTTCTCCTAGATGGGCTGCCTTCCAAGGCTGATGAGCCCCACCTACCCGGCCTGCTCCCTAATAGTACAGAAGTATGATCTTACCCCTAAAACTTTCCTGTCCCCCCCCCAGGTGTATGCAATGCTTTTGGATTTCCTATTTACCAGATTAAAGTAAAAAACAGAATCAGAGAAAGCTCAACAACAGCCCCCTCAGACCATGCAGTCAGGGAGAACAAAGGTCAGCCTAGGGGGAAAAAACCCTCACTAAATGAAATGTCCCCTCAAGCACAGCTCACCTCCTGCCTCAGCTTCCTCTTCAGGAAAAAGCCTAGGCAATAAAATCTATGCAAGGTAAGATACTGTCTATCTCAAAATTTTTGATTCACATAGCCACTGAAACGGAGCACCATTCTGTATTTAGGGAAGGTGACGGAACAAACCTTTTCTATGTAATTTGTATCGCCACCATTGGCCCAGAAGAAAGCATGAAAGAAAGGGGTTACCTGAGAGCCTCACTGCTTTGCATAACCTTATGAATAGTTATCAAATAGCACACCACAGATCTGCTCCCTGCAATTGCCACCCAGCTCTACATTTTTGACTGAACGACTCATGTCCACCTGCACAGCACAGTGAGCAACAAGATGTTCCCAAGAGATGGCTTCTCTCCAGATCACTGCCTTTCTCATAGCTGCAGTATTCTTGGTCCTTGGGGGGCTCATCTTCAATGGTTTTATAGCTACACTGATCATCATTGAATGGGCTAAGTGCCAGAGGCTTCCTTCCATTGAACTACTCCTTCTGAGTTTGGGTATGTCCAATATCTTCACTACAGTTTTCCTGGCTGGATATTTCGCCGTTGTTTTCTCCCTTATCACTGTCAGATACTTAGTGTTCCAAATACTGAGGAGCTGCTTTATTTTTGCTGCATCGTGCAGGTATACTTTCACTGCCTGGCTGTGTGTCTTCTATTGTGTCAAGATAGTGAACAGCACTCAGTCCCTCTTCCTATGGTGGAAGCTGAGGATATCAAGGCTTATACCACGGCTTATTGTCGGATCTCTGATCTTCTCCTTGTCTGTTTCCTTGACTGCATTTTATTCTCTCCAAGACCAGACCCAAGGCACCACAGCATCCAGAGTCACAAACGCAACCCAAGAAGAGACATTGACACTTGAGTCTTTAAAAATCATAATTTTTGCTACAGCTACTGGCTGTCCCATTGTCCTGGTTTTACTTTCTTCCACCCTGGTTGTTGCCTCACTCTATCACCATGTCTGCCAGATGACAGGTAAAGAATCCTGTCTTAAAAATCCCCAAACGGAAGCTCATATCAAGGCAGCTGGGACAGTGGCCTCCCTCTTGTTGCTTTATGTTTTGTTTTATGTAGGACACATCTTGAGTCTCCTTGACGCCTTGAGAGAAAGTGGGCATATCTTTGTTTCCATAATGATGTTGGTGTACTCTCCTGCTCAGGCCGCTATCCTGATGTTTGTTAACCCCAAACTAAAGCAGGCAGCTAGCCGGATGCTTCTGCAAACAAAGCATTAACCTCAGTGGATCTCACTAAATGTTGCTCTTTATCATACATCCTGTCTTGTCTTCAAATGCTTGCTTTTATATATATGTAATAACTTGCAAATAGTATGGTGCTGGATCAGATAAGGTTAGGGATTCACAATGCTTTTGTGCTGGTTCTGTGGGGGCAAATGAAATATTTACTATCATAATGAATAACTGCCATATAGAATGGGGTGATGATTGTGGCAGGAGCAAAGGATTACAGCCCCTTCCCTGTGACACATCCGCAGTTTAGCTGAAGGGCTTATGACAATAAGCACATCTGTGCTGAATTCAAGTAGCTCATTTATCTGAACTACAATGTTTTTCTTTCAACCTGCATTGAAAGCCTTGGTTTTCCTTACATGTAAAACTGGACCTGTGAAATCAGCCACTGAGTTAGAAAAGCCTGTGGCAATGCACATGTGATAAAGATTATTAGAGAAAAACTTCCCAAACTGTGGTTGATCAAAGCTTTAAACTTGGTTTTACACTATAATGTTATATATGTACAAACAGCTTCTAAACAAAGTTACCTTGCAATTGTCAAATCTACTAACAAGAAGTAGACTGATTATATCTCCATAACAATTCTGCAGTCATAATAACTATGTATTCAGTCTGTCTGTTTAACAAAACTCAAACTTCTCAGCTTATTACTGTACTTTCTTTGCCTTCTGCTTTGGGCTAACTGTCCCTTCATCATTCCCTACTAACCCTCAAAGTGAGCTTAACAGAAAGACCTACCTATGAACAGAAGAGGAAAAAACAATTAGGAAGTCAGCATAAAACAAGACACTCAAAAGGAATAGGCAATGGCATTGTTATACCAGAATAACACTAATGGTATGTTTCTGAAGACAAATTGCCTCCCTTTAGGAAATGACTGTGTTCAATACTTCTCAACACAGCACACAACAGATGTCGATGGTGATTTCTTAATTTGGGGCAACTTGTCTCTAAAGGTTATGCTTTTAGCATCACACTAGTCTTCCTACCCAAGAGGAGTTTGGCCAATAAGAGCAAGAAACCAGTTCAAAGTAAAAAGTAGTGCATAATTAGATAAAACACTTGACAGAATTGAAGCAGATTTTTCTGAGAAAGGAAACAAAGGTAAAGTATTATTTGCCATTTTTAAAAAGAGAGAGAAAAGAATTAGTTCATCCAATGAATAAATATATATGTTTCTTCACGAACTAATACATGGCATTAGCTAACCCACAGTTAAAAAAAAATAAGCATTTAATGCATTAAGTAGAATATATAAAGGAAATGAATAAATATATATGTTTCTTCACGAACTAATACATGGCATTAGCTAACCCACAGTTAAAAAAAAATAAGCATTTAATGCATTAAGTAGAATATATAAAGGAGCCTCGTGGCGCAGCGGTTAAACCACTGTACTGCAGCCAAAACTGTGCTCACGACCTGGGGTTCAAATCCCAGGTAGCCGGCTCCTGCACTATTGATGGATCTCATGAAGACCTTCAAGATAACTTGTATGGTCCTGCCACTTGAGTATATTCAAGAATGGTAATCCTGGCACATCCAGCAGAGCTCTTTTGATTGCTTAAGGACCTCATACATCATGGCTTGAAGGAAGAGAATGCAGACCACACTGTAGCTTGTTATGAAGAATCTCTTCTATGACACTTTGCAGACAAAATCGCTTGGATCTGCTCTGACGTGGATGCCATCGTTGCTACAGGTCCTGTGAATGAAACTATAGCCCCTGCTTGGCTGTGTTAATGGATTAGTTTCAGTTTCTGCAACTTGATGTGGACAGAACCTTTGAAGAAGTGAAGGTTATCATATGTCTGCTAAACCCTTGCCCTTCCTGGCTTATAAAAGCTGCCAGAGAGGGACTGGTTGAGTGGGGAGGAGGACTGGGGACTATCTCTTTGCAACAGGGTAACAGCCTAGCATCAAGAGGAGAAGGGGACAACAGAGGACGAGATGGCTGGACCGTGTCATCAAAGCTACCACCATGAATTTGACCCAACTCCAGGAGGCAGTGGAAGACAGGAGGGCCTGCCATGCTCTGGTCCATGGGGTCGCAAAGAGTCGGACACTACTTAATGACTAAACAACAAGAGCCTAACATATTTAAAGGTGGCAATAGTAAGACCATTGTTGAACAATCCCTCCTTGGATCACACAATGGTGGATAACTACCAACCAGTCTCTAATATGCCATTCTTGGGCAAGGGACTGGAGCAGATTGTGCCTTCTCAGCTCCAGAGGTTCCTGGACGAAACAGATTATCTAGATCCATTTAAATCTGGCTTTAGTCCTGGTTTGGTCACCTCGGTAGATGATCTATGCTAGGAACTGGACAGGGGGAGTGTGTCCCTGTTTCTTCTGCTGGACCTTTCTGTGGCTTTCATTGCCATTGATCATGGTATCCCTCAGGCCCATCTCTCTGGAACGGGACTTGGAGGCAGTCAGGCCCATCTCTCTGGAAGGGACTTGGAGGCAAAGTTTTACCATGGTTCTGTCCTTCCTGGATGGGAGAACTCAAGAGAACTCAAGAGAGTGGTGACCAGTATATCCTGTTTGACACCTTAGCTGCTGGCATGTAGGGTTCCTCAGGGTTCTGTTCTATCTCCCACACTATCTAATGTCTGCATGAAACCACAGGGATTGTCTGGAGTTTGGGGGTTTGATGTCACCAGTATATGGATGACATGGTTGTTGCGGGTTTTTCGGGCTCTTCGGCTGTGTTCTGAAGGTTGTTCTTCCTGATGTTTCGCCAGTCTCTGTGGCCGGCATCTTCAGAGGACTGGAGTAGGAACTCTGTCCATGCTCTGTTGCATCAGATCCCGGCCGTGAAAGCCTTTGATAATACATATGGATGACACTTGGCACTATCTCTCCTTTCCATCTAAATCCAAATAAACAGTTTGGCTGTAGATCATTGTCTGGTGTCAGTAATAGACTGTATGAGGGTGAATAAACTGAAACTTAATCCATACAAGATGGAGGTACTCTTGGTCATAGTAATTCCACTGGCTGCCAATCTGTTTCCAATTCAATGTGCTGGTGGTATAAAGCCCTAAATGGTCTGGATCCAAGCTATCTCAAGGACTGCATCTGCCTTTACAAGCCTGACCAGTGGTTAAGATAATCAAGAGAGATCTTTCTCTAGGTACCACCACCTTCACAGGTCCATTGGTTGGGGACATGGGAGGGGACCTTCTCCGTTGCTGATCCTGAACTCCCTCCTACAGGAGGCCAGACTAACCCCTTCTTTTCTGTCTTCCTGCAAGATCCTGAACTCCCTCTTACAGGAGGCCAGGCTAACCCCTTCTTTTCTGTCTTCCTGCAAGCAGACTAAAATCTTTCTCATCATGCAGGCTTTCCATTAGTGGGATTCTTAAACAACTGTTGTGCCTTACTGCTTGGAAAGTGCTTTTCTTGTTGCTTTTGTTTACCATGTTTAGTGTGATATTTGTTTGATCCTTTTAGATATTTGTATACTTAAAGTTTTTTTTAGCTTTAAATATAATTTTTAATTATGTTAACGGCCTTGGGTTCTCTTTAAAGAGAAAGGTGGGGGAAAATATTTTAAATGAATAAAATAAAAAATCAATGTATTAAACCTGTGTATTCAATTTATCAGTAAGAATCTGTATTACCATGCCTTTGTTCACAACCTGAGTTCAATCTTGACAGGCTCAGGGAGCCAGCTCAAGGTTGACTCAGCCTTCCAGTCTTCTGAGGTTCATAAACTGAGTACCCAACAGGGGGGAGGGGGAAACGGGAGAGAATGCATAGCCCTCATATTTAAATTGTGAACTGCACAGAGAGTGCTTTAAGCACTATGGGGAAGTACAGTATACAAGCAGCACATTTTGCTTTTTGCTTTGCTTTGTTGACTTTTAGCAGACACTTGATTGCAAAATGAAAGAACACTTTTAATTTAGAAGATTTCCCGTGGCCATCAGCAGTGTTTTCCATGACTTTCCATCAACATCATGCTACGATTTCTTAGTAATAGCTTGCACTGTGTTCTCTAGGTCTTTCTAGTGCTGAGACCAAGAGTCTCAGAATAATGGATTTGCAGCCAGCTCAAAAAAGTATAATCATAAAAAACTGCAGTCAGAAAAAGATATTCCAGCCATGTTCTAATATCTATAGAATGTATTTCATAGCCTTAGGCAGTTATTACATTGACACACACCAGGAATTCTAAATTGAGGATCTCTTATAGGATGAAACCAGCATAAAATTCATGAGTTGTAGACCACGTTGCCCATACTTTCTCTCTGCCAGCTTTTCTATCCCCTCTAATGTAACAACCTCACTTTGATTTAGATGATGCTCCTACCACAGATGTGATTACAAAGCCTCATCCTACAAAACTGCAGTCCTTTAAGCAACAATTCTTGAGATTTTTCTCTGCACTTTCAATATATGTTATTCACTACATTCAACATTACTGGTGATTTCATATTTTTGCTACTTAAGCCTACTTTTTGGACTTTAGATTTTGTTTTTCTTTGCCTGTGTTTTTAATTCTACCTCCATATTCATCAGCTGGGGATCCCCATTGAATTTGCATGGCTTTGTGTTCTGTTTCTTTTTCTTCCTTTTTTCTTTTACATTCCAAGGTTCTGCTGCATAAATGATCCATTTCTACTCAACCATTTTGAAAGAATGCAATCTCACTTATACAGGAATTTGAACAAGAGGCAGAAGATGGTTCTTGCAGGTGACTTGGTCGTGGTGGGACAAATCTCCTAGGGCTTTATAGGAACTGCTATAATTACTGAATAAACTCAGATTGGGAGCCTGTTCTCCAGACAGCAATGTTTGCCAGACCTGAGTGTGTTTAAACTCTTTTATGCAATGTTTGGGACAATTTGATTATATTTGTACTACAGGAATCCTGCTGATAAGAAACAATAGTAGAAATATAAATAAATTGGGAGCCTGTTCTCCAGAGAGCAATGTTTGCCAGACCTGCGTGTGTTTAAACTCTTTTATGCAATGTTTAGGACAATTTGATTATATTTGTACTTCAGGAATCCTTTTCTAAAGCAGACTTCATCTGTCCAGAAAAGTATTTGATTTGCTTCAAATCCACTGGTAAGTACTGGTGGCCGGCTTGGCTCTGTGTCTTCCATGTCACCATGACAGTGAATTGCACACACCATTGATTCCTCTGGTGAAAGCTGACAATCTTTTAAGACTAAAATGCAGGTAGAGGAATAAGCAGCTTTATATATTACTGTAAAGAGCTTTCAAGACCTTCCTGTACACAGACTTTTTGTAACTGCCCGTCACCTGTCTTTAGGGACAGTCCTCAAACTATTAACCCCTTAATACTGAGAAATATTTATTACTGTGCCCTGTTATCATGTGGGATCCCAGTTCCTTTCTGCATTGTCTTCTGGAACACGTTCTTAATACTGCCCTTAAGGAACACAAGAGTCAAAGCTTTGTATATGGACCAAGAAACATAGAATTTAAATCTGGCTTCCCCTGTCTTGTTCTCTCATTTACTAGTTTTGGCTATCTATCTGTGGTAATTGTATTGCATCCTGCTTGTAGCCATTGCAGATATATTTGGGGGATGGTGTCAAGGTAGCTGGGACAGTTCCCTGCTTCATATTTCTTTACCTCTCCTTTGCTGCAACATACACATTCCTGAGGGAGTGATCATATGAACTGAATCAGATGATATAGCCATCAATTTGCTAAACACACCAGTTGGGCTGCCATCCTGATAGTGGTTACTCTCAAGCCCATACAGGCAGCTCTAGATCTCAATTGATTCAACTGAACTTGAGATCCAGCTAAATTGGTTGTACATTTCAATCAATTAAAGCTCATATAGGCAGCCACTCACCCAGGCCTACAGCTCATCAGCTTGAATACAAATCTAATTAGAAGTAGCTCTTGACCAGATTGGTGGGGGAGGGGGAACAGCGCTT